TATTTATTTTCGTTATAAAACATACTGAAAAATAATTAAAATGATTAGATAAAATAGATATAAACAGAAGTTTGGATATCTTCTTTTTCATGTCTCCTTTGGACATGATGCTGTGTAATCTGTAAGTACCGTAAGAAGTGTGTCCCGTGGCTCTGCGAGTGTAGACAGAAGCTTCTCCCATGAATAACCGCAGGATTTTATGGGCTCCCAGCCTAAGAAGGAGACCACTTAGCCCGGGAGGAAGTCTAGAGTCGCCGTGTGTGCACGCTTAGTCTCCTGAGGCTGACTTCCTGGCAGTGTCCTTTAGGGCTGTAGAGGAACGCTTTCTGAAAGATTGGGCAATGTCTTGTCACTCCGAGAAGAGGCACGGAAGTTGATGGTGCCACAGATTTATAGCCCCTCCACTGAGAATGTCTGAGCTTTATATATTCTGCTAGTTTAAACTTCTTAACACTACTTTTCATGGAAGAGATTCTTTGGAGAGGATGGGCTTTCGATTCCAGACGCTAGCTGTGTGTCATTAGGCAGGACTCCCGACCTCTCTGAGCTTTTGTTTCTTCATCTATAAAATAAGGATAAAAGTAAGGATAGAAATATGGGATTGTCGCTAGGGTTAAATTGGGTAATACTGTGCAAACGCTTAGCGGAGTGGCCTTCCTTCGCTTCATGTGCTTCCCCAAGGCCTTCGGCTGCCGTGTTTCTGAGATTTTGTTTGTCTATCATTTATTTTCATGCCCGATTTCATTTATTTTTTTAAATGTAAACTTGTTTTCAATAAACGTAAATATGCACCTAGTCTAAAAGTTTTATATGGTATGACATGATAACGTAAACTTGAAAATAAAAAACAGCCTCCCTACCTATGTCTACTCCATTTTCTGCTCCTTAGAGGCAATCAATTTTTAATTCTTCCGTTTTTTTTCTTTTCTGGAATTTACCCCTTTATTTGCAAGTGATAACCAGTGCTGCAATTTCTTATTTATTTCTAGACCATCTTTTTATTCTTACTGTGGAATATGAGAATTTAGCTTTCTTACACTTTTCTTCTTCCTTCAAAAACACACCCTCATATGCACACACCCCGTTTCTTTCCCCATCCTCCCCAAACAGTTCTGTCGCACACTCTGGTTGAGTCTGCACTCAGCATAGGCTTGCAATGTGCTCTAATCTTCAGTTCCTATACAACTTTTTATTTTTCCCTGCAGCTTGTAATTGTCGCTTTTTCGTTTACTTAAATTTTTATGAATCTATCGATAATTCATCCCCATAGTCTGATTGAACCTGGAAAACTTTCAACATGTTTTAACACATGTGAAAATCACATGCGTCTGCAGGGTGGAAGGGGGCCTGCAGTT